TTAACCTATTTCCTTTTTACTGCCACGCTCCCTTTAGGAACTTGTCCTTCCATCTACGCCCCCTTGCATGTATAAATAAGATCCTCTCGAGGATTTGAAAGAAAACTTTTTATTGAGTATGACTTAATCACATCATTATTACACTTATTATTTGACCATGAACCCATTCATTAATAAAATAACAAATATCATTTGAGCAATTTCTGTTTTTCCCAAGGGCTCGCGCCCTATTGGAAGATTACTGACGTCCCCCTAGGGACGCGAGACACCCTCCTCCACAGGTTTTTCAGCCACTGCTTTAGACTCGCGCACGCCCCAGTCGCCGATTCCCGACGACCTACACTGCTAGACGCAACCGCCACCAAAGTTGCAAGAAGAGGATTGCGCCAACTCAGAAGTTGGGGCAAGTGAGAAAGTTGGACGTTAATGCCAACCTGTCGTCGAAAAACCCTCGTGTGACCACGGCTTAACGTAGCCGTACTACCCTGTTCCTCTCGATGCTTGGGCATTGGTCTGCCTCGAGGGTCTTCGCGAAGAGCAGGGCAAGGACTGCTCCAGGTGGGCGAGCCCTTCGCAAGCCCCTGGATTTGCTCATAATCTTGCCTCTGGAATTCGCACAGGCCAGACCCCACGCAGAGGCGGACGAGTGAGCGGCCACAGCAGGAAGCCACAAACCATTCAAGGTCGTCGTGCAGATGGAACGTTCGCGTTTTCTTCTTTCATTCGTCGTTTCATTTATAATTTGTTCATCATAAATCCTATGCATGCATACACACAGGCCAACATACATATGCATACGTACATATATATATATATATATATATATATATATATATATATATATATATATATATATATATATATATATATTCGCAGGATCCAGATCATAATCCGGATCAGTACCAAGATTCAATGGCATCAACGTTGAGCTAAGACATACCTATGGTACAAAAGTCATAGAAATCTGTTCATAACCTTCTAAGTTGTTTTTCTAATTAACACTACCAAAAACATAACCTTGGCGTAGGTAATAATAAGCACAATATATATATATATATATATATATATATATATATATATATATATAAGTAAATAAATAGATAATAAATAAAATATATATAATATATATATATATACATATATATATATATATATATATATATATATATATATATATATATATATATATATATATATATATATATGTGTGTGTGTGTGTGTGTGTATGCGTGCATGTGTGTGTGGCACGGAGTGTCATGTTTTACAAGGACTGTACACTTAATATCTTCATGTGATACTTCTCTTTTTATGGAGTTGCTTTCTGTTTTCTAATCTACAACTGGTATTACAAACTGCAATTAGATTCATATTCAAATCTCCAATATTTTCTTGCGATAGTTTCCGGAATCAGATACTTAAAAAAAACATAGAAATGAATATAAATGGAAACCAAACAAAAATGTAGTTGGTTGCAATTTTATTGAGGATTTTTTTTTGTACATTTTATGATGCATTTACGTAACAAAAATACAGTTAATACCTATAGCCATATCCAAAATCTGAATGAGTCGTCAACATTTAATGTCTATGTTAACATGTCAACAGGTGTTGTTAGCACGCCATAGGGAAAACTTCTTCCACTCCTCTCAGAGAGCAAATGGTTCTGTAAGCATGGGCGGCATCGCAAGCCTTGTGGGCAGTGTGACACATGCTGATGAATGGCTGTGGGTGAACCACTGGGTTACACCTGGAGCGAATCCCCAACAACGCTTCACACTGAACCAGGCGACCTACTGTGGTCTCAGCATGAGGAACCTCAGGGGTGGAGCACTGCGGCTCCTCCTGCCAAGCAGCTACCAAATCGCGGGGGTTGGAGGCTGCTGCACCGCTGGGCATGAGACGGTCATTGGCAATTTCTCCAGTGTTGGGGCCCAGTAGCCCTGCTACGCGTCCAAAGATCCAGCCTGAAGCCTCAACAGCTACGGCCTCGCCTGCCTTGGCAACGATCACCCTCATCAGGGGACATCCCACCTCAATGTGCTTGGCTGTGTTCACAATCCTAACGTTTCCGATGGTTTGCTGGGATCCCCCGAGGGCTTGGCCATTAACCAGGACTTCAAAGTCAGGCTTGATGATCACGGTGGCTGCTGGTGTCTTGAGCTCAAGCTGTGCCGGGGCTGAGGCTTGCGGGTGGGACATGATGAGGCGGTGGGAGCCGTGAGCAGCCAGGAGAAGCTTGCAGGGCGAGCGAGGTGCTCGCACAACAAGGCCGCTGAAGCTGAGGATCTCAGTGCCGCCAACCACCATGGCTGTTCGTGGGTAGGGCGGCAGCGCGTCCGTGATGTAGCGTGGAAGGAAGTTGTAGTAGGCCCAGATTGCGTCGCTCACAGGGATGGGAATGTATTCAAGGTAGGCAAATATCAGGTTCTCGAGCATTGTGACAGGGTTGGGCACTGCTTCTTGTGCCACTTGCGTCAGTGAATACAAGGGTCGGTGGAGGGGAATTCGGACTGCAATGCCGTTGCCTTCGCTTTCAATTGAAACGAAAAGAAATTCTTTGAGAATGAGGCTGGCAACACTTCCTGCTTCCTCAGCAAACACGCGCTCCTGTGGGAATAAAAAAGAATAAATGAAAAACCACAAAAGATATCAATATATTAATAACTATATTTACACTACTTCAATATTCTTTTTTCTATACATATATTTCATGGGCAAGAAAGACAAATCTGAATCATTGTTTTTACATGTCAAAATATACCTACCGAGTTGATGTACTGCATAACATAGGCAAAGATCCTTTGAACAGCTGGTGTCTCCATGATCCTCTTGTACACAATATCAGCATCGTGCTTGAGAGTGGCCGTCACCCTGGTGAGGATGTGCTTGACGGCCTCATACTCCTCAGGATACTCTGCCAACACTGCGTTCACTTCTCTCTTTACAATCCTGAACACCTCAGTGTTCTCAATTTTTTCCAGAATTACACGAACTGTTTCAGGTACTTCTCCGGCTTCCAAGAGTTGCACTATCTCCATAACAGCTGAGAAAATAGAATTTTTGTATTTATATTGTGACATTAAACCATTTCATATTGACCGTAGAATTTTGGGACTCAATTCTGATAACAAAATGACAATGACTCACCTTCGATAAAGATTTCAGAAACGTCTGTTAGTTGTTCCTGCCATTGCTGGATCATTTCAACCGCCCTGGTTGAAAAGTGATGTTGAAGGCGAGCAATCTGTGACCATACTCCAAGGTAGACACGCGACACGAAGGACACCGTAGGGCTTTCCAAGATATCAGCAATCAACTCAGTGTCAAGGATTCTCATCTCTGAGACGATATCTCGGTAAATGGCTTTGATTTCCTCATTCGCCTCATCCACTAGACTGACAAAGTGAGATGACGGGAACTCGACACCCTTTGCAGCAGCTTCTTCCTTGAGGAACTGGACGGCCTCCATTGCAACTGTTTCGAGAGACATGGCGACTTTTCTGAGGGTACTTGTCACTTCACTCTGGAAATAAAGGATCACATATGAGGTTAGGAATCGGTAATCGTTCAGCATATGGAAACGTGGAAAATACCATTTCCGATGATAGCATCGTTTTGAGACTTACCATTACAATGTGTGCTTCTTCTGGTTCATGAGCCACCTCGAACTGTAGCATTGTGGGTGAAGCCAGCTTCACAGCAGCAACAGCAACACCGCGACTCTCTCCAGCACTCGCCACATATACGCCTGCTTCAGCAGCGTCAGGGTATCGGAGGCCAAGCTTGGCAGTGTACTCCTTTGCTCCACCAGGTCGCATTGCGGTCACCTCAATGAAGGCGGGCCTGCACATCTTGGAGAACACGTTGTACTTTCCAAAAGCTGCTGCATAAGCAACAGCATTCATTCTGATGCCATTGCAGGTGGCTGGTTCCTCGGGTTCGGTCACTGCACTCATCTCAAAGACAGGTCGCTCTTCCATCTTTACTGTCAATGTGGCAGCTGCACTGTGAGCTGCAGTCTTGTCATACTTGGCAGCAATGGCGAAGATTGGTGCTGCAGATGGAGTCTTGTGGAACACTACATCCAAAGCAACTGTTTCTGGTGCATAGGCAGCAGTGATGATAGCTTTAGGGTTCACTTTCAACATCTGTAAGACAAAAAACACGATATTCATAAAGCTATTCTTTACTATAATGCGATAGTATCATAGTTTTATAGTACCATAGTTTTAACCCTAATTCATATAAAAGGACTCTAACATCAATTCAGATGGTGTTCTACTTACCCTGCCAGTCAAGAAGGCTTCTGCCCTGATAGCATTTTCTGAAATTCTCTGAGTTTCCACAGTTCCAGTAATTTTGTCGGCTTCTTCTGGGAAAATGTCCAGTTCAATTGTTCCCCTCATTGTTCCTTCAGCTACTGTGTACTGAGCAGCGGCCATGATGGGTTTAGGAAGCACTGGATGGTTCATTCTGACTTCCAACTTGGACGCACGTTGTGCCCACCTTCCCTCGTGGTTGACCTTGTATCCAATTTCGTATTTGGATTCAGTTTTGCCCTTATTGGGGTAGAACTTGATTCCAGATTCCCTTGGTGATAGTTTAGCTCTTCCTTCCATGGTGCGGGTTGGAGTCCTCATCTGCATGGTGTAAGAAGTGGGTGATGGCCTTGTGAAGCGGTACTGGTACTGAGCTGTGTGTGGGCCATAAGTTTCATAACTCTCTTCCTCCAGAGTAGCAATGGCACGAACAATCTTCAGAACTTCAATGATGGCTTTCATGTCCACACCAGCTTCAACAGCTTCAATTCCTCCTTCAGGAGTAACCTGCACATTCCATTCAAAGGCAGTGAAAGGAGCAGTTCTTTCGATCTTGCAGACTCCAACAAAAGCGTTTGGTGCATTGTGAATGGAGAATGCAATCATGGCAGGCGTCTTCAGTACTGGAGCTTCAGCAGCCACCTGTAAATGGAAATATAGCTATTCATATTTTTCCCTATTGAATATGATAATACGTCTCATTTACATGAATTTTGCCATTTCATGAAAAATATTCAGTGATGCAAGGAGCGATATATCTACTGTTACTTACCTTGAATGCTACAACATGTTCTTCTGGTGTCCAATGATGTTTTGCTGTTGTTTCTACCTTTATTTCTGCTGTTCCAGGTTGTTTGTAAGTTACCTTGGCTTCTACGGCATAATTAAGTGGACCACCAAGCCTCTCCAAGGCAATCACACTTGTATATTTGTATTTCCTATCCCTCACGTTCTTGTATTCAACGGTGGAAATGACTTTAGTGGTGGCTCCTGCCAGCTGGACATCACAGGAGGCTCCCACGACAACCGTCTTCTGGCTAGGAGTTGTCAGGATCAACTTGAATCCATTTTCCCCTTCCATGTGCTCTATGAGATCTGTGGCAGTCAGAATCAATTTGGCGTGGTAAGGCTCTCCGGCAATGACGACATTCCCGCTGTGAAGAAATATGTAATCAGAAAAAAAAGAAAAACGGATATGCATGTGTCTTTGAATCATTTGTTGATTTTATGTTTGTGTATTATGTAGTTTTATACAACTGCTACAGAATCAAAGATGAAACTGAGGATTTATACTAAAAAATGGCAACTGAAATTATGAATGTGGCGACTTACTGGATCTCAGCATGTCCAGGGTTGGCAGGACTGCTGATCAGACTTGCATCCAACACCAACTTCTTTTCGGGAGCATTATCGGCATCCCAAGAAAATTCCACATTTGCCCTTTTCTCTGCAATGTTGACATCAGTGAATCCCTTGACCCGACGGCGGGATGAAGTATTAGGCAGAACCAAGTTGTTAAAATTAACATGGATAAGTTCCTCAGTAATAATGGCATCGACCTTGTTCTCAATAAGGGCAGGGAGAACGAATGCTATGCCAACAGTGGTCTTCTCAGAACTCTCTTGAACCATCTTCCATTCTACACCAAAGAGTGGCTCTTCTCGCTCCTTGATTTCCATGGCTATCACCTGTTTCTTGTTGCCAAACACAACATTGGCACCAATGATGTAGGGTTCACTTGCCAATGCACTGAGTTTGATGTTGGCCTGCATCTTTGCAATCTTGGAGGAAAGACGTGCCATGATTGGCCCATTAGCTTCAAGTATCATACGCTGACCATATTTGATGGCTGTTTCCAGCATGTAGCGACCCTCTGCTTCTTCTCCAATCTTGGCCTGAATCTTGAGAGGTTTCATGTAAGTGGGAACCTTCAGCTGAAATTAAAGAAATACAGAGAGCCTGAAGCACTTCCTATGATGTAATGCCTAAGCTGTTCTGTATATTTAGAAAACGTTTTTCATGTACAGGATGTATCCCTACCAAGAAATTAGTGCTGTATTCTGCTCCTGAATGATGATAGATTGCGTCCAGTTTAACAATTTTCTCATTGTCTCCCGTGCGGACGACTTCCATAGAAGCCCCGACCTTTTCAGCCTGGTAGATTACATCATAGATGGCTTTGTATGATGATCTGCCAATATCAACTGCAAAGCAAAAAAGCAGAAGCACTATCAGTTACACGAGCTACGGTATTCGATGGATTTTCTTTTCAAATCTAAAAGTGAGAAAAAAATTACAAAAATGAAGTTATGGAGTTACCTGTTGCTTCATTTTTGATGATGATGTTTTCCGGGAAAGCTCCCTCAATCGTGTGAGTGGCTTCAACAGAGATGATATCTTTGCTTCCCTTTGTTAGCCTGAGTGCAGAAATGTGCTCGCTGATTTGTCCAGACTGGCTGCCTTCGCGGATGTATGATGCCAGTCTCCAAGCTCCAGTTTCGGCATGCACTTCCACCTTCCGCAAAGTTACAGGGAAAAGAATGCGGAACTTGGGAATGTACCTGGTCCTGTATGTGTCCTCTGAGGAGAACTCCATGAGGTCAGCTCCCACTGTAAAAGATTTCCAATTGATCAAAACTTCAACAATGAAATGAAAGCTGTATGCCATCCAGGATTATATTTCAAGATGTAGAAAACTAAACCGCTAGTTTTTAAAAGACATTCACTCAAATTCTTACCTTCCATATTGAGGTTGAAGTATTCAGCCAGACCATTTCTGGTCCTGCAAATCACATCCACATTAACTACGGGTCCGCTAGTTTTCTTGATGAATTTAGCCTCTACAATTTGAGATTTAGAGGGGAAGCTCCTGGTGCCGCTGCTGAAAACGTTCACTTGGAATTCCTCTCCCACGCTTCCTTCCCTTGCAATCGCTTCCAGCTTGATGCCTCGAGAAATAGCAGTCTGACCATATTTGAAGTTGACATAAGTCTCTACTGCCTTGTGTCCTTGCTCGTTGGTGAGAGTAGTCCACACTCCTGCAGCAATGCTGGAGGAATCAAGCTTGGCAGAAACAATGTGGCTTCCTTCTTCCTTGTGTAGGACAGGGTCATTTCTGCTCTTCTTGGTGTTGAGGCACCAGCTGCTTCTACATTCATCTTAATGAGCTTGTTACCTCTCTTGTTCTTGATGGCAGCAGTCACTAAGTAACCTCTCATGGAAGGATCTGCCTTCTCAACGTACAGCTTGGCGATGGCTGGTTCACCAAGTGGCAGGGCATTAGCACGGAACACATCAGGGAAGTTCATGTCATAGCACACCTTGAGGCCAAATACTGGTTCCAAAGCAGCAATGCAGGACCTGCGCTCAATCCTGACATCTCTCATGGAGGAAGGAGAAATCTTAGTCATCTTCTTTCCCCTAGCTTTGACAAGGTAAGTCTCGGCCTTGATGTTGAGGAGTTCCATCTTGTCAGGGATCTCCAATTCCAGCTCGATCTTCTTGTTTTCAGTTGTTCTGATGTTGATGGCGGCTCCAGTGGCACTAGAGATGGTGTTCTGCATCTCGATTCCCACCTTGGTAAAGCGGCACTCAAAGCCAACAAAACCAGTGGCTTGTACAGAAAGGCCTGGGAACACCTTGATGCCGGTGTGGGAATTGCCCAGGTCAGAGAGGATCTGGCCAATGTTGACGTTGCCCTCCATCTTGAGGCCAGCAACAGCAGTTGCAGCTAAGTTCAGCTTGAGTGGTGTGCCCTGAATGGTGGGCAGTGAGTAATCCATGGAAAGCTGAGCAGTTCTTGCTGTGTTCAGGTTAAGATCCTTCATATGTTCCAAGGAATTCTCGAAGAAAGAGAAAAAGTCTCAATGAGTGTGTCAGCTGTGACACCCTTGAGGCTTTGGGCAACATCTGCGAAAGTAATCTCGTGCCCCATGAACCGGGCGAAATATATCGGCGTGGGTGTGCGAACTGCTCTCACCATACAGCTTGCCGAAGAAGTCGGAGATGACAGAAGCATCGATGGATCGCCTGGTCCTCATTGTGTGCTTGAAGTGCTCCATGATCTTGAGGCCTTTCTCTCCTGCAAAACCCGTAATGTCCTCCATAATCTTTCCAAATGTTGCTTTGCGTAGGTATCCCTGTGGGCCCAAGAGCTCTTCAATGATGGAATCGACTCCTTCAAAGCGCGCACCAATCTCTGCTATGTCCATGGGCGTCTCATCCACAGTTGCTCTCATGTTCAGGTTAACAGCACGAGGAATGAAAGATCCGGGAGCATAGATGATGTTCGACTCGAGGCCGGCACCCATGCCAAAGGCAGGGGCATAGTAAGCCATATCTATATGTCGAGAGAATTTCCTGAAGTCCTTCTCGAAGTCGGTAGGGATGACAACGTTGGCAAGGAGGTACCTGAGGTTTTCTTTGTTGGGGCAGCTACCCTCTTGGATGTTGATCAGGTGACCCAAAACAAATCCACGCACTGAAATGAAGCAATATCATATGAGCATTCACCAACATCTGGAGAATGATAATATGAATGTACTATTGTCATAACAATTATCAAGTGATAGCTTAGGTTATTAGCAACATCTTTGGTTTTAGTAATTAATATGGTGGTCAAAGAAAACATTTGTAAAATACTCTATAGATCTAAGAATAATAAAGAATAATTTGCCACTAACAGATTGTTCTGGTAGTATGGTGACATTAATATTAGTTTTTGTGGACGATTTATAGGAGAGGTTAAGATATGAATATTTACATACCTTGGGTATTCTCTTCCTTTGAAATCTTCTCAATAATTTTCTCCAGGTGTTCCTGTTCAGCACATCGGACAGCTGCCAGATAGGAAGCGATGCGGACTTCGGTGTCAAAGGCTGGTCGGACGGCAATGTCTACTAGCTTTTCAACTGCCTGAAATTATTAAAGTATAACATACACATTCACATATGTTATTCGATCATCATCGTATATTAGATAAAAACAATGGAAAAAATATTTCTACCGTTATCTCAATACTACTTACTGGACGGAAGCAATTGGCTTGTCTGAAGGCTTGTGCTGCAGCTACCCGAATGCTGGTTTCCAGTCCTTCTTCTTCAATGCATTGGACGGCTGCCCTTGTCACGGCAGGTGTAGCTACACCCATATTCCCTATTGCCTTGAAGAATGCAAGGGGTACTTCCTCGCCCTCAGCACCAGCAGAAGGAGAGCAGTGACTCTGGACTCTGGTGGCCAGAATCTCTGCAATTCTCGCCACTGGAGCTTTCTGGTGGCAAGCTGGAGTATGAAGGCAGTAGTGGTTTATCATGGAAGCAGCTGCCAGCAGCACCGAGGGCACTGGGCGAGGGCTTTCAAAGAGTGGCGTGAGAGCCTTGACTGCCTCAATGCTGGGTCGTGGGATGAGGTAGAGCGCTGCCGTGTACAGAGCGAGACGTCCCCCTGTTGCTCGTCCATTCTCGATTTCTTGGACCATGACCTTTACTGCACCAGACTCATGCAGGAAAGCAACTGCGTCCAAGAAGATACTCTCCAGCCTGGCAGAGTCACTGCAGTAATGTCCTTGTCTCACTTTCTGTGCAGTCTCCACCACAACTGTCTCTGGAACACGACGTAACAGATGGAGAGCCTTGGCAACCAAAGCAGCAGCTTCAGCCTCAACTGTGTCCTTGGTCTTGTCACAGATCCCCTTCATGAGCTCATCCAGCTCAGGTGCCAGTTGTGGGTCCTTCATTGTTTGGTGGTTGTACAGGAGGCTTTCAACTTGCATTTCTCCTGAAGGGATGGCACTGATAGCTGAAGTGTCGGAGGACTCCGAGATGAAGCGAAGTGTTGAATCCTGACTGGCCTCCACGTACTTGTAGATTCCAATGGCAGGTCGAACGATGTTCTTGTCCTGACACGTGATGGCGGTGTAAATGCCATTGGCGATTTCCTGCTTGCACTGTGACGTGGATTCCTGGATTGGCAGGGGAGCCTTCAGCCATAGTGCAGGTATATGAGCGGGTGTTGGGTAACGTTGTTGACAGTGGTGGTGGTTCTTCTCCTTGACGACAATGACTTTCTCTCCTTCGGTCTCAATTTCATACTTTGTTGGGCATTTTCCCACAACATCAGTCTGAAAAATCAAACATCATTGGTATTATTATCTCTAGATTTTAACCTATATATATTTCTGAACTTGATACTATTAAACTAAATAATACATTGTCCGTGAACCTTAGTATTCATAAATGAAATGAACTAACCTCCGTTACTGTGATGCCTGAGCTGACAGCAGACAGAGAAGGAATGGAGTTCTGGAAAGCCGAAGCCACGCCCTTTTTCAGGTTGATGGCCCATGGTTCGTCCTCTGGGTGAGCGCACACGTGCTGCACCCTTCCGTCGACGACGGCCACCACAGTGGATGTCTCTCCAGCGTCCTGGCAACGATGGGACCTGCAGGAGACCGCACCAATTGTGAGATACACGTTAGAAAAGATTTCCATTGGAAGGCACGATTGATACTTGAGTGAAGATATTTGCATGTAGACTTGGGACTGTTGGCATGCGCTTACCGGGGGTGCCATCCACCTTGGTATTCTTGAAGGAGATGGCCATGTCGCAAGGGCTGATCCAGGTGAGATCAACTTGTGCCGTCCACTCGGTCTCCGAGTCGCCGTTGTCCACGCCCTTGAGCTGGACCTTGGACTTGCCGGAGTATTGGTAGGCGTAGGTCTTGTCGGGTTGGTAGGCCAGTTTGGGGGATCCGGTGACGGGGCATTCGGTGGAGCATCTTGGCACGTCCGCTCCCCAGGGGGCTGGGAACAAAAGGTTCTATGAGACTGAAAGACTTGATAGTAAGAAAAGTAGTGAAGAATATATCGTTAGAAAAAAATATCAGTGTCTATCGATCTACTTTTATATTTCTTTTGTGTATACGGTTTTATGCGAACGTCTTTGCACGGTCGGCATCGTATTTGGAATGACATGGATTGTCACCACAATATCTATATTTCGTAATAGGCTTGTTGTCTATGCATGCTATTCATTGAACCAAAAATGAATAAAAATGTGTTGATGCCAGACTGATAGTACTTAATATTTCTGACTATAATCGTGTAATTAACAATTATTTTCACAACTGTACTGTAGAACAAAACTATTTACACACACACACACACACACACACACACACATATATATATATACAAACACATACATATATATGTATGTGTAATATAAATGTGTCTGTATGCATTCATAAAGAATTGTACATATTTATTTATACATAGAAATCTGTATGTGCAGAATCATCAATCATTAGAATATAAAAACAGCCTTAAACAAGAATTTTGGATGAAATAACGATAGTCAGCATTGATTGTTCTGATATATATTGGGCGCCTTATCACTCACCTGCCAGGCTGCCTGCCACGAGGGCGAGAACCAAGAAGAGCTGTGAGGTCGTCATGGTGGTTCTGAGCGATCACCAAGACTACTGCCCGACCCCCTGCGCCTCGGCCTTATATACCCGTCGCCATCTCCAGCTGACCGGGATCGCAGCGTCACCTCCTCGAGAGTTTTAAGTGACGTTTGCATGTCGCCGTGAATCACCGAGCTCTTTTCTGAAGCTTATCCAAGTACGCGATAAATCAACGGTAAATGGAAGGTACAGAAAAAAGAACAAGCATACACACACACATATATATGATACATGATGTATGTATGTATATCTATCTATTAATGAATAAATGTATATATAGATGTCCATATGTTATATATATACATATACATACCCACACACATACGCACACTCACCCCCCCACACATAACATGCACACACAGACACACACATCACCACATGTGGTGTGTGTTTTAAATAAATGTGTGTAGTAGTGTGTTGTGATATTGTATGTATGTGTGTGTGCATGCTATAGTTATGGTTAGTGGATGTAATTGTTGGTTTAGCATGTTGTTGTGAACGTTATGCATATGTGGTATTGTAACCAGGTTGCGTTGCGTGATATAAACACACATTCTACTATATCGTTAGTGCAGTCTACTATCTTAGATGCGTTGTGTATATGTTATAACATTTATTTTTTGTGTGTGTGTGAGAACCGCCTCTACGTATACTATACGTGAACATTAGCGCACGTATCTATACTCCACTGCTATAACTGATAACTCGTGTGGCAA